AAGATGAGAGGGGCAAACCATTTTCCAAAGCACCAGAAGCTAAAAGAAGAACCAATGGATGGAAACTAATCAAGGAGAGAAACTCAAAAACTTGGTGATGTCACAAGGAAACGGAGATCCATCCCTGCTCTGGGTTCTCCTTGTTCATGGGTCCATAAGCAGCCAAAGCTGCTTTGGAGGGGTGGTGAAGCAAAAGAGGGGCATCCTGCAAAATTCCAGGGGGGAACGCAGCTCCCTGTAGAGCCCCAGGGCTTTCTGAGCCCTCTATGCCATGGCAGGAAGAAGAGGCAGCCAAGATGGCTGCCATACAGCTGGAGACTGCTTGTCACCTAAGTGTTGGAGCAGAGCTGGTGAACAGTGTTTGGAACTGGATGAGAAAAATCCTCTATTTAAAGTGTAACACCACCACCCCACCACCCCAAAAAAAGATTCAGAAAGAGACTCAGAACTTGTTAAAGTGGCAGCAACCTAACATATTTTAACATTTAAAAATTTAAGCTTTTAAAATGGAAGAGAAAGGAAGAACATAGACAATCTGGTAAAAACACAGAAAATTGGACTTTTAAATTGGACAGATGTTGGCTTTGGGTAGGCACTGTAAAATGCTGGAACTATTTACATAAACAGCTAATTTTATATTAATATTTTGGAGAATTTGGAAGACAAGATAAAGTGAAAACTGATGTAAGAGCTCCACCTGCTGTCAAAGGAAGGCACAATATATTCCCAAAATACAGGCAAGGCTTGGCTTTTGGAGATTTAAAGGAAAGAATAAGAAAAACTTTATTATTAAAAAGACCCCTGAAAGTTTCAATAAAGATTGAATTGGCAGGAAGTTCTATAAAGGTCCCACTTTTGGATAATTTAGAAAAACACTGATTAACTGGGGGATATAAAGACTCTTGGACATTGAACATTGAATTCTTTGTTTGAGAAATGGCTTTAGTTTGAATAAAAGATTGCTTTTTTAGAGAAAAATAAGATGGACTTTGGGAAGAGATTGCATCAGAAATTAAGGATATGAAGGATATTTTGATAAGGTGTGAGGAGATTTTGAATAAAATACAGAGCATAGATGAGTTGGAAACTAAGACACAAATGACAAAGAGAAAACAGGATGTCCAGAAAGAGGAGGAGTTAATTGAAAAAGCAGCTGAAGAAACAGAAAAGACAAAGCAACAAACAAAGAAATGATGAGGAAAAAAGAAATGACAATGATTGATGATATAAATCAAGGGGAGAGTTTTGAGGGAAGTTAAACAGGAATTGCAGGGAGTTTTTTTTTTTTTTTAAGAGACAGTGTTAAGACTACACAACTTGAAAATGAGGCAATGGAAATGTGTAGAGAAGGGAGAAATGTTTTAAGAGGATGGGCCAAGAAGTGGTAACCAATCTAAAGATGCAAGAAAGGAATAGGGGAGACAAGCCAAGAAACAAATAATTAAAGTTTTAAGGTGAATGAGAGATGATGGATAATAAAAAAGAGGTAGAAGTTAGAGAAAGGGGGATTAATGGAATAGATACTTTTACATTATAAGGTGAATTAATAATGAGGGATGATAGAATTTCAGTGAGGGTAACTTCGAATATGATACATAATCAACTGAATACAATTCAACGAAATCTAGCTAGGTTTGTTGAACGTAATAAATATGAATATTAATGTCTATGCAGAAAAAGGAATATGTAAAATTTGATACGAAAATAATGAAACATTGAATAAGAATAATGAAAAAATTACACTTGATAAAAACAACTGCATTATTAGAACTATATAACTTGTCAAACATAAATATTTTATCTATATTAAATAAGTTGTAAAATGTGATTAGAAAGGGGATTTTTCTTAAACATAATAGTGGCACAATTAAAAATTAGAGAATAAATAATGGAAGATTATATAAATTGAATTATTATTAGAATTAGAGAATCTTTTAAACACTACAAATATGGTTAATAATATTTTACCTGTAGTAAAAGAAGGATATTTAGAACATGAAGATTGACATAAAAATAAGATACCGAAATGGTGAATTATCAAAGAAAATATGTGTAATATGAAATTTTATAAGATTGCCAACTGTATTGAATATGAACAATATTGTCATTTGTTTTAAAATGTAAGACACTCTGGTACCACACTGTCCCCACAATGTTATGTTTGTAAACAAGAAAAAAATAAAAAAAAGGAGAAGCAATGTGGGATTATGGAGAAAGTTCCTAACTGAGAACAATTAACCAGTGGAATAGTTTACATTCAGAAGTTGTGGGTGCTTCATCGCTGAAAGATTTGAAAAAATGGCTGGACAGCCATTTGTCTGAAATGGTATAGGGTCACATCAGCTGTCAAGTCTGAAGACCCCTGCTCTAAAGAATGGGACTACAGTGTTATATGTCAAGCCTGTCAGTTAACATCAATTCCCTGCTATGCAGAGAAGAAAGGAGTTGGCTTGAAGTGGGAGTGTCACCCAGGTAGCTTTTTAAAGAGGCAGCTGGACTTTTTGGTTTTTCTTTGAACAACTTGACAAGTGGAATACTGAAATAAAGATTTTATTTGACTCCAGTGGTTTCTTCAGTTGCAGCCTTTGTTTTCAATGAGTTCTACCCTTGCAAGAACACTCTTCATTAAATCAAATGTGAAAAATGCAAGCCAACACAGGCTTTGCCAGTGCCTTAATGCTCTAGGACAGTTTGTGAGTTCATTTGTCCTTGAAATTGTGGATATCGTGGATATCATACATACTAGGTGGCAATTGTAATGATCTAAAGGAGGGACTACTAGAATTTTGCCTAAAAAGTTTAAAATATCCATTGCTAATGGCAGAGCTTGACCCATTGGCTGAAGAGACAGCTGAGAATCCCTCAAGGCAGTTTGTAGCTGCATGTTGGAAGAAATTTCCTGAGTTCGTTCCCGGCTGGGACACATCACAGACGCTGAGAAGAAATAGATGCAGAAGCCAGCTGTCAGAAAGTGGAACTCTACTGTAAGAAGGCAAGAAGCAAAAAGTGACACAGCTGGAGCGTTCCTGGCTTGGGAACAGGTTGGGAGTATGACTCTGAGTCTTATGCTCAATTTCCCTTTGAAACTCCTGTAGCTTGATGAGTTTTGTTCCTGATTGCCCTGGGTTTTGTTTTTCTGGATCTTTGTGTTTTCTTGTCCTAAGAGTTAATCCTGTCAGGGGTCAGGAAGAGGGAGTTTCAGTTTGCCTTGGAGCAAGGGTCTCCAACCTTGTCAACTTTAAGACTTGTGGACTTGAAGTGACTTTTTTTCAAAGCTGGCTGAGGAATTCTGGGAGTTGAAAGTTCACAAGTCTTAAAATTGACAAGGTTGGAGACCCCCTGCCTTGGATTTTTTATTGGATTTTATTTTTAGCCTGATTCCCTTTATCTTAATGGCTCTACTTAAGTGTTTGTTACTTTTCTAACTGCTCTAAGTTTTCCTTTCAGGTGGTACTTCTTAGTTTTCTTAAAGGGGGAAGGACTGGCTTGAGTTTCTTGGCACTGTTTTCTGAGGTTTCAGATGCTGTGAGGTTTCTGGCACTGTCCTTTTGGGGTGTACTTCCCACAAGCAGATATTAGAGACTTATTTCCACAAGTGCGTTGTCAGTCAATATGTAAAATGAAAAGTGGGATAATGAAGACTTATCGAAACTGGAATAATGGAAGACTTATCAAAAACGGACAAGGAATAATGTACAGGTGCTTTACCATCCTATCTTATATAGTATTATATAACTTATATAACTTAAATGGTGCATATTGCAGCTCTGTTGAAAAGGACAGAAGTTTTATCAAAAGGGCTTGCTCTTTTGGAGAACTGTCTCTTGAGATTGGAAAATAATAGCCTTTTTCTTGATTATTTGGAGTTTGAAGGCTATCACAATAATTCAGGATTTAGTCAAAGTTATGACCCAATGCCCCTTTGAATCTCAGAAAGAAGAGCTTGAAAATGTTGCATCTGTCTATAGGTAAGTTTGGCGAAGAAGGGAAATACGTATTTATATGTTTATTGAAGACAAGCAACCATTCTGGCATGGAAGGACATATTATTTGGAATATTAGAAATCAAATTGATTTGTCCTTAAAAAAGGCAGAAAGCAGGAGGTGGTGTTTTTTTTACTGTTCTTCATTGTGTATCTGTTGGACATGGTGCTCTTACTTCCTGAAGGTGCTGAAATTGATCTCCAGCAGTAAGACAGGATAATTGCCTCACTGAATTTGCTGGGATATTTATTTATTAAGGATAATGAAGAAGACAAGTCTTGTCAGAACTTTACAAGAAAGATAGAAGTTTCTTGAAGTCTTACATGCTGGACTTAAACACGTCGAGCACACACTGAAGCAGAAATAAAAAGGAAGGAAGAAAATAAAAGATCAGAGCTGTAGGAGCGACATCACTTGAGACCTTCAAGAAGAGATTGGACTCCCATCTGTCAAAAATGGTCGTGTCTCCTGCTTGGACAGGGGGTTGAATTAGATAACCTACAAGGTCCCTTCCAACTGATCATCTGTTATTTAAAACCTTTATTTCAGTACAAGCCTATGGAGATTCTCAATCATCCAGGTCATGGTTGTCCCATTTCAAAGGGGCAACTGGACTTGTTTTTTTTTGAAGACGTTTCACTTGTCATCCAAGAAGCCTCTTCAGCTCTAACAGGATGGCAGGGAATGGAAGGATTTATACTCCTTGCAGATAGCTGGTCATTTAAAAAAAAAAAATTCAGCACTCCACTTGTCAAGTTCAAAGAAAAACGAATCCATCTGCCTCTTGGTGGGGGGTAAGCACCTTTGGCACTTGGCCGTGGGAGGCGCTCTCGCCAAAGGCAGGAAGCGTGGTCGCGTACGGCGCTTTGCCTCTCTGGGAAAGAGGCCTCTGTTTCCCAACCGCTAGGAGGCGCTTTGCCTCTCTGGGAAAGAGGACTCTGTGTCCGAACCGCTGGGAGGACAGGGGAAGGGGGCGGGAGGCGGGGGGACTTGCGACCGGAGCTACTGGCGGCCGATTTGCTGATGTGGAAAAGCCCCCGAGGAAGCGGCGCCCGCCTTTTCCCCTCCCGGGAACCGAGAAGAAGACGTGGAGGAGGGAGGAACTCGAGGGAGCCGAAGCCGAGAAAGGAGCCTCGGCTGCGGCCTCTGGTCCCCGAACCCTCGCCCGGAGCTGCTGATGTCGGTGGGGCAGCGGGAAGAGGCGACGCTTCGGGGGTGTCTCTCCCCTCCTCGGATCCCCTTTGGCTGCTTCGCCTCTGCTGGACCCGGAGAGGATTTTGCTCGCTTTGGAAGCGGAACGCGGGAAAGGGCGGCCGGTGACTAAAAACAGGCTCGCCCGGAGAGTCTCGAGGAGAAGCGGACAGCTGTGACCGAAGGCGGCGGCGGCCTCTGAGGGAGTTTTACCTCATCGGGGCTGCGCTGAAGCCGGAGACCGAATGGAGTCTCCCCTTCAGGCGGGGAGCGGCGGCGGCGGCGGCGAGGAGTCCGGCGGGGGAAGCGGCGCCCCGAGCGGCCTCCCCGAAGGTCCCCGCAGCTCCGAGGCTGAGCGCTGGCGCTTCCGCAGCTGCGTCTCCCGGGAGGCCGAGGGGCCCCGGGCGCTTTGCAGCCGCCTGCACCGGCTGTGCCGGGGGTGGCTGCGGCCCGAACGGAGCAGCAAAGCCGAGATGCTGGACCTGGTGGTGCTGGAGCAGCTGCTGGCCCTGTTGCCCCCGGAGCTGTCGGGCTGGCTGAGGGAGTGCGGGGCGGAGAGCTGCGCCCAGGCGGTGGCCCTGGCCGAAGGCTGCCTCCTCGGCCCCTCAGACTCCCCGGAGCCCGGAAAGGGGCGGCAGGTGAGACAAGTCAGCCGTGGGAGGCTGAAATATTTTGCAGCCATCGGAGGGAGAAGGGAGGGAGGAGAAATTCAAGTTTATTAGGGTCCCGTCTCCTTCCTAAGAAAACCGCATGTTACTAGTATATATGTTGATATTTCTGTTTGGGGTTTTTTTTCCGTTAATGATATGCCCTGACAATGAACTCTATTCAAAATGGTTATGAATCAAAATAAAACATATACCGGTATTTTTAAAAAAGTTTAACAGGTGAAGAATAAAAAAAAAAGACATCCCGCATATGAAGGAAGAGTCAGCAGCAAAATTTTCAGCAGCTCTTAATATTTTGAAAAGTTATTTCTTTTTGATGCAAAAGCTTGTTCTTCCTCTTGGTGATAATGCCATAGGAAGGAGGAGAAATTCAAGCCAACTTCAGTCCAGTCCTGCCACCACCATCCTGAAAGGATGAAAGAAGCTCCAGAGTCTTGGGGAGCTGGCTGGAATCCCTTCTCCACTTTTCCCCTCTTTTTTTCCTCAACGCTTGACAGCTTTAAGACTTGTGGACTTCAACTCCCAGAATTCCTCCTCCAGTCATGTTAGGCTCAGGAATTTGGGGAATTGAAGTCCACAAGTCTTAAATTTGCCAAGTTGGAAGACCCTTGGTTTAAATTGATATTAATCAAACTCTTCAGCGTCTTTACAATATTGTGAACCTTCTTTTAAAGATATGCACACCTTTGTTTCTCTTCTTTAAAAATAGTCACTGACAAGAGAAATCTGGAACGGGTTTCCAACCTTGACAAGTTTAAGACTTGTGGACTTCAACTCCCAGAATTCCTCAGCTAGCATGGCTGGGAGTTGAAGGCCACAAGTCTTTAAAGTTGTCAAATTTGGAGACTTCTGGTGTAGAAGATGCATGTTGGGATAGTGTAATGATCTGGGGGAATGACATTGGAAAGGGAAGTGCCACAGAATACACAACCGTCACCCACAAGTAGACAGTCGGGGTGGGGCAGGTGGCAGGGAAATGGGAAATGCTTCAGTTTACCAGAGAGTGAAAGGACAGGAGGCAAGAAATGCTTTCAGGATTTTGTGGCCTTGTGAACAATTGGCCTTGATCCCAAGGTACAGGTGAAACTCGAAAAATTAGAATGTCGTGCAAAAGTTCATTTATTTCAGTAATGTGAGTTTGTTGGCCAATCAAGCACAGTAATCCCACGGTCATTGAACCAGGTTTTGGTGCTTTTGGCAGTGTGGGCAGGTGCCAAGTCCTGCTGGAAAATGAAGTCAGCATCCCCATAAAGCTCGTCTGTGGAAGGAAGCATGAAGTGCTCCAAAATCCCCTGGTAGACGGCTGTGTTGACCCTGGACTTAATGAAACACATTGGACCAACACCAGCAGATGACATGGCTCCCCCAATCAACACAGACTGTGGGAACTTCACACTGGACTTCAAGCATCTTGCAGTGTGTGCCTCTCCATTCTTCCTCCAGACTCTGGGTCCTTGGTTTCCAAATGAGATGAAAAAGTTGCTCTCATCAGAAAAGAGGACTTTGGACCACTGAGAAAGAGACCAGTTCTTTTTTTTATTTAGCTCAGGTACGACGCTTCTGACATTTGTTGTTCAGGAGAGGCTTAACAAGAGGAATACGACATTTGAAGCCCATGTCCAGGATCCGTCTGTGTGCGGTCGCTCTTGATGCACTGACTCCAGCCTCAGTCTACTCCTTGTGAAAGTACCCAACACTTTTGAATGGCCTTTTCCTGACAATCGTCGCCAGGCTGCGGTTATCCCTGCTGCTTGTGCATCTTTTTCTTCCACACTTTTCCCTTCCACATAACTTTCTATTAATGTGCTTTGATACAGCACTTTGGGAACATCCAATTTCTTTTGCAATTACCTTTTGAGGCTTTCCCTCCTTATGGAGGGTTCAGTGATGGTTTTCTGCACAACTGTCAGGTCAGCAGTCTTTCCCCTGATTGTGATTCCTACTGAACCAGACTGAGAGACCATTTAAAGGCTCAGAAATCCTTTGCAGTTTTTATGGCTTAATTAGCTGATTAGACACTTTGAGCCTAGAAGATTGAACCTTTCCACAATATTCTAATTTTCTGAGATTGTGGATTTGCGGTTTTCATGAGCTGTAAGCCATAATTATCTCAATTATGAAAAAGCATGGCTTGAACTATCTGGCTTTGCATGTAATGAGTCTATCTCATATATTAGGTTCACTTTTTAAGTTGCATTACTGAAATAAATGAACTTTTGCAGGATATTCTAATTTTTTGAGTTTCACCTGTATGTCCACGAGCTGCCCGACTGGAAGTTTCCTCCCTATCCTAGTGAAGCTAAACCAAAAAGAAGGAGAGATCAATCCCATCCCTCCCAAATGCTAATGGTCCCTAAATCTAACAGAAAATATTCCCAGAGGAAGGGATAGAGCTGACATATGTAAATCCACAAAGGTGGAAGGCATAGCTCAGGGAGAAGATAAAGAAGTAACTCCTGATTAGAATGAAGAGAGGAAATAAAAAGAGGCAAAAAAACATTATACAAAAAATGCCAGACATTTACCCAGAAATAACAGTCACCTTCAAATCAGAATCCCTGAGTTCTCTCACTTTGACTTGAGTTGGGGAAATTCAAGTGGAGAGTCAAAAGGTAAGCCAAGCAATCTAACATGGCAATAGTCTTATGAACATGGATCATAATACAAGCTGTTATTTCAGGTACAGGAGCTGTTCGCAAGAGAGATCTCAGCAGAGCTCCAGGAAAGAGATGAATCCAGTCCTTCTCAACAGCTTCATTTCAGGAGGATCCAGTTTGGGCCATCTTGCCAGGCAAGTATAGGTTTCTTCTGAAAGCAATAAAGTTCCACCTCTTTCCATTCTAGAGCTGCTTTTACAACCAAATGCCAAATCTGTGCATTTGGACATGGTGTCTCCCCAGAATGCTCCACTGAGTCACACTCAGTCATTTTCTACATTGTTCTTAGTCTGTAAGCAAAGGACGGTTCACAAAATGAGAGGCTTGTATTACAAAATGTAATCAATTTGTTGGAAGAGTTTAATACGTCTCTTTCAAAAGAACCTGAAAACCAGCTACAAATTATGAATTGGAAAAGAACTGCTTTCCAAAATGTCCCAGCATATCCATTTAAAATTGAATCACCTGAAGGGCAGGTTCCCTCTGTAAAACCTACTAAGTGAATCCTAAATGGCTGTAACAATAAGATTGCTGGTCAAAGGATTTGGGATTTCCCTGGTTATTTCTAAAATTTGGAAACAGGCCAGGAAAGAAGATCTTGATGGCTTCGTCCTATTTGAAAGGAATTTGCTGATTGTGGTCCCAAAAACTACCTTGCTGAGTCATTCTGGAGCTGTTGGCAACTCCGCAAAGGGGGTGTTGTCATCCGACAACTTCCATTCATCTAAGCCGTATTTTGCACCTTTGCAGGAGTAGCTCAGGTGGTTGGTCTATAGACCATGGAGACCTACAAACATACCTATCCTGTAAGAAAATGTCCAGTTGGTCTTGAAAAGCTGTGTTTTGCATTGTAAGAAAGGATTGTCTGTTAGGGATAGTGTTCTTTCTCTTTCTAGGGCTCTTCTCTCTTTGAAGAGGTGACTGTAGACTTCACAGAGGAGGAGTGGGCACTGCTGGATTCTGGCCAGAAGGCCTTGTGCAGAGAAGTCATGCTGGAGATTTTTAGGAATATGGCCGCTCTGGGTAAGGAGCCATTTTGCTCTGGGTCCAGTTAATTGGGAAAGGTGTTTTAAGTGGGAGGTAAACAAGGAAGATCTCTGCACTCAGTTGCATAAGCTGTTCCTGACACCTGCCTGGGTGCCCCCTGAATAACTGCACTCTCTTTGCCACTTCTGTGTTACGGTCAAGAAAAATTCCTGGTTGCGTCCAAAACACAAATAGAGATCTTCTGGCAGGAAATAGGTTGTATGCCTGTTGATACTTAGATCCATATGGCATCTTTCAAGAATTGGGAATTAAAATTGTGTGTGTGTGTGTGTGTGTGTGTGTGTAGAGGAAGCCACCTTCCTACCAGCAGACCTGCCCCTTCTGCCCCCCCTTTCTCCCCACCATCTAAAAGGAAAGGTGCATGTGATCACCTTTTGCAACCTTCTGACAGGTAATGTCAGTGGGGAAGCCAGATTCACTTAACAACCATGTTAGTACCTTAACAATTGCATGATTTAGTTGACAACTGTGGCAAGAAAGATTGTAAAATGGGACAAAATTAATAGAGTAGAGTAGACTAGAGTAGACAAGACTAGAATAGAATAGAATAGAATAGAATAGAATAGAATAGAATAGAATAGAAT